AGGTGACTCCACTAGATGATCTGTCCTAGTAAACGAATTCATCTCCTCCAACTCGTACAACATATACTGAGGAAGATCTTTTTTATAAATTAAATCATACTTGGGCTCGTCTTTCTCTTTGAAGTTGAGACCAAATGAGCAAAAGTATTGGCCACCAGGAGTTGGAGTGTAAAATCTTTGATCTTTCTTAGAGTACATGAGACTTGAGTATGGGCATATAGACTCATGCCCATGCGTGGTTTCGATATCGATCCACCGTAAGTCTTTATGCCTATATAGCATAAGCCGAGATACCGAAAACTTGATAGCAACGACCCAATCATCATTTTCTAGGTCAGGAAGAGAGGACATGGCAAGGTTTTGGATTTGAGAGCCTTTTGGAAGAGGAGGTAGACGAACAGAAACAGATTTTGATTTAGGGTCAGAGGGCTTGTAATAGATGTTTAGACGAACGTTATCCATATCACGGAGGAATTTTTTTTCCTTCATGTGAATATTCAGTCCACTTTGATTCAATCCGATACTCATTGCGTCGCTGACTTCTCTAGCGAGAAACTTGCTCTTAATTATGATTTCATTTTCACCTTCTGCTCCGGACCTTCTTGATATTGCATTGCTACCATTTGAAGAACCTCCGACCTTAAGGAGGTGGTCAATTAACATAAACGGGTAGATTGGTGTAGACGAACACCACCGAACCAAGTTATTGTTTCTCTGCCAATATGTAAGTACGTTGCACTAATCATACAAAACGAAATTCACTAGTAGAACCCTAAAATAAACCCATAATTATAGTAGAAATTAAGAATTAGAAAGAAAAAACTTACAAGGACATTTGTGTAGACAAGGGGCTTCAACATTCGGCTGAGAGGTTGAGACATTTTTCTTGAATCTTTAAAACTATGTTGAGGTGATTTATCGCGTGGGTCTTCTCTAGTACTCTATAGAGACTTATGCTTGATGACCAAGTTGACATTGAAGAGGAGAATAATATTCTTAAGGAAATAAATAAATTAGACATATATGAAGGTAGAAAAGGAAAGCAAATATAAAGAATTCGTTTGACCTTTGATATTTGAGTATCCATCGGCCTCATTGCCGGATTATTTTTTAGCTAAAAATGTAAATACCAGAATTTTTTTATCAAATGACATACTAGTTTACATAATCTCATCAATATTCTTCAATATACTGTACATAGTTTTTTTTTAGCCAATTAGTTATCACCCTTTCCCCATATAGTCATCTACTAAAATCACCCTAGCTATATTATATATTGTCTTAGCAACATAAATTCCCACCATTCAGCAGTTTCATGCATATCAAAATATGGATCAAATAAATTCTTTCATAATAACTTCAAATACTAAGACTTTTCACTTACAAATCAATATAAATTTAAATATTTTTTATTGTAAAAAGTGTTCTTTCAAATAAAGCATATAAAAAAGAAAGCCTACCAAAAAAAAAAAAAAAAAAGCATATAAAAAAAAATACAACATGACATCATATTAATTAGGAGTGAGCGAAAGTGGATGAGGCCAAGAAGGAAATTGAGTGGAGCTTAATAAACCTTCATCGGTGGAGAAGAGACTGCAAGTTTGGGTGGTGATATCGAAAACACCATAGTTATGTCCCGCGAAGTAGATGCAATTAGGCTTTAGACCAGGAATGGTGCTCGCTGGGACACACATAGCTTCACCATGTCCAAGAAAAATACAAAGATCGCCAATGTTTTCGGTGTAAGACATGAATTTTGTTTTTCTATCGGTTAACTGTTCATCCTCTCTAAACACCTTGAACGACTTTGTTTTGTGAATGACTGTTAACGTTTTGTAAAGTTCAAACTCGTCGCCATAGTACCTTCAAACATATGAGAGAGTCGTTAATGTATCAACACGAAAACTGATTTACACTAAGATATCATAATAAGTGTAACAAAGTTAAGAATTATATACCATGAGATAAGGAAGTGTTCACCGGAGGGTGACTCCACCATGTGGTCTGTCCTGGTAAAGGCATTCATCTCCATCAACTCGAACAACTCATACTTAGGAAGATCTTTTTTTCGCACCTCGACAAACTCGAGCTTATCCTTCTCCTTGAAGTTGAGATCAAAGGAGCACAAGTAATTGCATCCAGGAGTTGGAACATAGAACCTTTGATCTTTCTTAGAATACATGAGACTCGAATGAGGACTTATAGACTCATGCGTGGTTTCGATATCAATCCACCGAAAGTCTTTATTATGTCTATAAAGCTTCAACTTAGATCCTGAAAACTTGACAGCCATAACCCAATCTTCATTGTTTATGTCAGGACAAGAGGACATCGCTATGTTTTGGACTTGAGAACCTTTAGGAAGAGATGGAAAGTAAAAATTCTTGGTTATCTTTCGAGATGATACGTATTCCATGTAGAGATGAACATTATCAATAAACTTGGGGAGTGTATACTCTGTCTTCTCCACCATGTGAATATCTTGTCCCCTTTGGTTTAATATGATATTCATTGTACTACGAACAACTTCAGCGAGTTTTGGGTCTTTAATCAAGACTTCTTTTTCACCTAATGATTCGTCCCCTCTCTCTATGCGACCATCTGAAGAATCTCCGACCTTAAGGATGTGGTCAATTAACATAATCGGGTAGCAACCGTGGCCTTGCGTAGACGAACGCCACGTCCGAACCATTATGTTGTGTCTCTATCAAAATGTAAGTACGTTAAACTAATCATACAACAAGAATTAATCTGTAGTAGCTAGTTAAATAAACACCAATTATTGTATAGAGAATTAAAAAGAAAACTTACGAAGACGTTTTTGTTGACAAAGGGTTTCAACATTTGACTGAAAAGTTGAGGCATATTTCTAAAATCTCTAAACTATGTTGAGGTGATGATTTCTAGTGTGGATCTTCTCTCGTCTTCTCTATAGAGATTTATGCTTGAACACCAAGTTGACATTAAAGACGAGAATAATATTTTTAAGGAAATAAATAATTGGACATATTTGATGGTCGGAATTAAAAAAAAAAACAGTTATAAGATTTAACTCAACGGTTCTTGTTTAAAACTTATAATAAAGGGAATTAGAATAAGAAGAAAAAAAAAACAGACTATTCAATTTCATCAGCTTTCCATCTCTATTATAACATTTCTCTTGCCTAAATCCATATAGGGATTTTGGCATCAACTTTCCATCTTTATAACATTTCCAATCTTTTTCTTTTATTGTCCCGAATATTCTCACCATCACAAATTAGAAGGGTCTGATCAAAACTAAATTACAAAGTCGAATCAAGAACCTATGATACTCTTTATATGCAGGTTTTGATTATTTCAAGGCAGGTTTTGATTATTTCCTTAGAATTTGTCATGCCTAATTTATATGCTTGAACTTGGTGTCCAAACTTTTTTATTTCCTTAAAAAATATTACTCTCTCATTAGTCATTACACACAAGAAATAACCACAACAGTTGAGAAAATTTAGCACAATGTATCAACTTCTCAACCGACTCGTGAAGTATCTTGTCTTCAAAAATATCATTGTAAGCTTTTCATTCTATTCTATTAATTACTATACTAGTGGTTCTAGTTGTGTGATTAATCAGGTCAACGTTGTTAATTACATGTGGCCGAGACACAACAATAACAAGATTGATCGGTGGTACTCGTCTATGCCAATCTACCCGCATATGTTACTTGAGTATTACATTCTTGAACTCGCAGATTCTGGCGACGATTCTCCAAATGGTCGCATAGCCATAGAGGAATGGTCACATAAAAAAACACATTGTGATTAAGGACATAGCTAGACCTCGTGCAGGCCTACCAATTTTAGAGGAAACAAAGGAATGGATTATGATTAATCTTGTGGCAAATGAATAGATTATGAACATCACTCCCCAATTTGTGGCTCAAGAGTGTATCCCTATTATTCGAGAATCTGCTATTAGAATCCCTATTATTCCATGCTTCTTCAAAGAACATAGGACCAAAATTTGGCTAGTTTTGACTTGATGTGTAATGTAGTAGTGAATTTTGTCCAAAATGTAAAGAAACATAATCGGAACTAAAGCTTATATTTTTGTCATCAGAGTTTATTCAATTAAACGAATCAATTCAGGAATCAGCTTAAAAATCCTGAAAAATGAAAAAGGAGAAAAAAAAATAGACATTTCAAGTTTCAACTCACTCTTGACCTAAATTCATATTGAGATTTTGTCATCAACTTTCCACCATTAACAACATTTCCAATCTCTCTCTTTTATCGTCTTGAACATTATCTTCTTCTCATCATCACACATTTAAAAAAAGTCTCAAAACCAATAGACAGTCAAATCAATAACCTATGATACTCTTGTGCAACACCATGTACAAAATCATTGAGAGTGCAAGAGGAAGAAAGATTACAATCCGCTTCGGCGCCCTAACAGTAAGACTATCGACGCAGCATCCTTCTTCAAAAATCGTCTCAAGCTTTGGCAAGTCTGAGAATTGCTGTTGTTGTTTCTGGTGAGATGCAATAAGCCTTGGTGCTACCTCTCCCCATGTTTGAACAAACCTCATTTCCTTGGCCATTTTTTTTTTCTTACACCCAGTTTTCTTTTTCCCGACAACAATCCGATGCAGCAGAAGGAAAACACGGGTTTAGTTTGAGAAAGAAAAAAACGGATTTTCTACGGGTGACGAGGGCAGAGGAAGATTGAAAGGTGCTGCTTTTGACTAAATGAATGAAAGATCTTTCAATGGGAGAACTTAGAGGTGCATATGATGTGGAGGAAACAAATGGGAGAGGTTAAATAGAGATACTTAGGGAGACAAATATGGAAAAAATGAGGATTTTTCGGGATATGGATGAAAAAAATGTACGGTTTGCAGAACGCCAATGATGCATTCTCTATAATGCTTTTGTTAGATTTTCTAAACTTAGAGGCTCTAAAAACAGATATACCCAAATAAACCCATCACATTAGAGGTTTAAGAGTAAAAGAAGGGTCAAACAATTATCTTTTTGTTTAATCTTTAGAACCCGAAATCCGAACACAAAAAGGGTCATATAGAAAACAGAGGAACCTTATCAGTTTTCTAGAACTATAGGCTCATACATAAGTTATATACTCCTTAAACCTAGATGATCATATATATAGACAAAGTACAGCTCTCGAGTATGTAAGAATATATATGAACCTGGAATATGAATCTGTTAGAGAAAGAATGTAACAGCTTCTCAACTTGAAAGGCTTTTCTTGTTCCAAGAATTATCCCCGTAAGGCCTGAGATTGAGAATAATGCATATAAGAAAATGAACAAAAAAAAGGGTTTCTGCGAATGTAGCCTTTTTACCTTGGATTTTTCAAATGGAGCAACATGAAGATGATGGATATGACTATGGAAGAGGAACCAACGACAAGATAGGTGATGCCTAGGAAATCATTTCTTCCTCCTAACCAATTTGATGTGGAAAGAATAAGCTTCTTCTGCCCACTAAAGCTATAAGTGTTGTAATTGTTCATCAAATTTACTTCAACAACGGTTCCTGGCTTCAAGTCCTCTTCGATTCTTCCATATAACTTCCGGAAGCTTAGCAAAGCAGCTGCTCGCATCCACACTATAAAGTCCTCTTGGTCACTTAGCTGCAAATTAAACAGCATTGCCTAAGCTAAAATATATGATTTAAGATTTTTATGGTAATAGAATTAAGTGGTTAAGAATGCATACAGGAATTTTAGGATCCAACTTTGCTCCACCAATCAAAGTTCCATTCTGGAAATTGACAGGATACACATTCTTTCCAAACTTTTGCTCGCGGTCACTCTTCCACGCAATGTTATTCCGGCTCACCTTCAGTTTTGTCCTTTCACGAGAAAACGTAAATGTATCATTGAACATACTCCAAGCTATCAACCCACAAGGAACAATCGGGAGACCATTAGATGACTCCTCAGGTTCACAAGAACTTGTGTGACTATACTCCAGTCCATGTAAAAGTTGCTGATCACTTCTACTCTTTACATACCTGCAAAAGAATCATCAGCTACCAAATGAGGACTTTCTCATCACCAGATTTGAAAAGTAAATCGATAAGGGATCTAGCTATTTTACCGGCGGTGGTTTTGATAGTAGTTATCGAGCTGGTAGTAGATAAAAATGGGAGCTTTCATATACTTTTGTACCTACAAGTGTGCATACAAAAACTGAAAATATTGAAAGTAGAAAAAACCACCACTACATTTTCATTGATTGGGAATCAATGCGAGCGTAAAGGAATTACCTTCAAGTAACGAGTACAGTTCTTTGGGATAGATGAATCTGTTATGTACAACAGTTTATTGGTTTTATATTCTTCAGGAATGCACTCAACATCATATCGATCTATAATTTCAATAGCCTGCCATTAAAGGATTTAAATAGGCTACTCCAGAAACTTACAGCTCAAAATCCAAGAGTTAACGTTTCCGACTTACATCACGAGAAGCACGAAGAGTAATGAGGCCAATGGGAATAAAAACAAAACCCATTAACATAAACACTGTTATAACCTGCAAAAACATTGATTCTTCTTCTTAGACAATCAGAAAAAAAAAAGTTAAGCTTTTTAAGGTCACAAAAATTAATGTTACTAACCGATATTGGTGTTAAGACTGGCTTACAAGCTGGGAGTTTCTGCTGCTTAAACTGATACAGAGCTGCCAAATCAAACACGCAAATGATTCGTTACCAATGTAACAATCGATACCAAATCACAGCAATTTTTGCCCTAAATTAAACCCGTATGAACTTAAACTAAGGCTTTTGATTTAAACTTCGAAATTCGTAGAGAAGAAAGTGTTATGATTTACCTTTGGATCGTCTCGATCGTAAGAAGGATGATTGATCAGGAGCACGATTCATCGATCCTTCCACTTCCATCATTATCCCCACTTGACTACTTCACCAATACATCGGGAAGGAGAAAGGGTTTCCTCTCTTCGCGGCGGGGATAAAACTCCGGCGTCTCTCACCGGTGGATCGATCTAGAATCGCGTGGTCTCTTAGGTAGATTCACCTGATCTAAGATTTTGTTTTTGAATTTGTAAATTAAATCTTTTTTTTTTCTCTTCAATAAAATTAAAAGTATATGAACATGAAAATGTTGAAAAAAATAAAGTTTGAACTTAAAAAGAAGAAAGGAAAAATTAACCAAAACTTTTAGAAACTGAGGACTGAATTTCAAAAGTTTACCTTATTACTTACAGGGTATAAATGTAATAAACTAAAATATAGGGCTAATCACAAATGAGGACAATAAGTAATAACCGAAAGTTTAGGGACTATTTTATGATAAGAAAATATTGGGAACTTCTTGATTCAGTAGAACACGAAAAAAAAAATGTGGTAACTAGAGTTTACATGAATAAAAGACATGAAGAGGTTTAGGGTTTTTGTTGCGTCTCAAGCAATGTGTTGAGCCAAAGCAAGAATCTTGAGATGCTTCTTCTTGCGAAGCTCATGCGGAACAGGACCAAACACTCTAGTACCAATCGGCTGGCGATCGGTTTTAGTATTCTTGTCTTTACTGTCGACAAGAACAACCGCGTTATCATCAAACCGAACTTCACTTCCATCAACACGACCTCTCTGCATCGCAGCACGAACAACCACACCATACACAACCGCTCCTTTCTTCACTTTACCGTTTGGCATTGCTTCTTTCACTGAAGCAACTATAGTATCGCCAAGTCTAGCTCCTTTTTTACCCTTTAGAGCTTGAATACACATCACTTTCTTTGCACCCGAATTGTCCACGACTTTGAGAACTGTCCCCATCTGAATGAATGTCCTTCGCTGTTGCTGCTGCTTCCGCCAACATCAACAAAAAGAATATGCTTAAGACACTATAATATATGTAATATCCATTCTGATTCAATCCAAAAATTTCAGATAACCATAACTCTACAAAGCAAAGCAAATACGAAAAACCAATATCCGTTCAAATCGACAATTCGAAGGCGCAGATATTTGTGTAATAATTGGTTTCTGACCTGAGAGAGGATACTTTCATTCATCATTCCATTAGAAGAATTAATCAAACCACCATTGTTAAGACCTCCAAGCAATGAACGTCCTCCTGCTCATAATTAGTGAATGAATCAAAATCAGACACTATAACCAAAAACAAAGTAAGACAACAGATTTTGAACATTTGGCTCTAAGCCTCTAACTTTGCAAACTCAATTAAAAAATCAAAACTTTTGAAGATGATACAATCTATATATGTTGAAAATGGGAATCTTTAACTTCATAAAGATGTGATTTTTAAACAAACCCATCAATAATAACCAAAACCCATCACAGTCTATATTATAAGATTCAATCTTCAAAACAAAACAGAATCTCTGGTTTCAAGAAACAAGATGAGATCGAATAAGGTAGTCTCTTACCTCGGGATAATCTGGAAGCAAAAGCAGCCGCCATTTCTGCAAATGAAAATTTCAATCTTAGTACAAATAGTTACATAAAAGAGAACAAAAGGGCTTATACTGAAAGAGATCGATTGCATAAAAATTCAATCATACAGAGTCGTTGTTACTTGAGAAAAACAAATACAGATTCGTTGCAGCAGTGACGACTGACGGAGAGGGAGAGAGATCGAGGCGGATGAGGACGGTAACAAGGAAAGATTTAAGCGTGGCAACAAAAGTAAATTACAAGGTTTAGTTAGGGGTATAATGGTAATAGTCTTTTTAATTTCTACTTTTGGCCCAAACAAATGAATGTTGGGCTTCAAGTCGTTGTATGTTATTTTAAGAAATAAAACAGAAAAAAAGAAAGAGGATAATAATAAATAATAACTTATAAATTATAATGTTGAATTTTTCTTTTATATATGTTGGTTTTGACGAATATGTTTTATCATTGTTACACTGAGAAAAATATTTTTCTTTATGTGTTTTCTACTATTCAAGTTTTAAGTTTATCATTGTTAGACTTTTCAAGTTTTAAGCCTCTTACTTTTTTAGAACACAAGTAAGTTGAGACTTGAGAAGAATTAATAGAAACCATATTCTGGATGGGGAAGAATCTAAGTAAGGTTTAGGGTTTTATATCTCATGCAATATGTCGAGCCAAAGCAAGAACGTGAGATGTTTCATCTTGGGAAGGTCATACAGATTAGGACCAAACACTTGTGCTAACCGGTCCCAGATATATGACTACCAATAATAACAACCGCATTATCGTCGAACTTAACTTCGCTTCCATCAACACAACCTTTCTACATCTCATCTTGAACAACCACACCATAAACTACTTTCTCCAAAGGCAATTTGATGATGTTTCTTTAACAAAAAAAAAAAAAATTTGATGATGTTTAATTATGATGAAAATTTACTTTTCGACCAAGTTATAATTGGTATTGGTAATTGGTGAGTAAGAATTTTCTTTTTAACCTTTTTACTCCAATCACCATAACCTTTTTAACCTTTTTTTTTTTTTTTTTTTTTTAAACCTTTTTAACCTTTTTACTCCAATATATTGCCATTCTGCAGTCAACATTATTTATAGCCAAGATATCAAAAATTTATGTAATTCAACAATCACATTAAAAAGATGTTAGCACAATAAATCTGTAATTTTGTAGATTTTTTGTTTTGCTCACAACTCTACAAAATTACTAATCAGAACCAGTAGGAAATCCAAAAAAGGAGTGATTATAGCAATTCCAAAACTACAATCTTAAATAACTTGTATAATGACAGGGGGAATAAGCAATACCTACAATATTCACATAAATAGAGAAGAGCAAGCAAAGGAGAAGAAAAACAGAAAAACAGAAAAACAGAAAAAAAAAAAAAGATAAGAAGAACTCTTACATGATATCTGTAATTTGTTGATATATTATATATATGATTGCGAGATCCTGCAAAGGCATATGCTTCAATGAAAAAACTAGCTAGCAGATGCAGTAGTAGGCAGCAAAACTTGTTTCTGGATTCATCAAAACTTCGATTTTATTTCATTCTCTGCTTCCTTCATTATAAGCTTTTAATTGTCATATCCTGAATTCGCCACCGGGTTCCCTGACAAACAAGATTCATAACATTGAGATAGTTGTGTGTTTTCTAAAATATCAAAAGAAAAATGTGAAGATAACACAGATTCCCAATTTTTAAACTCAATCTATGATCATAGATGCTTAACTAAGCATAAAATGCAATGCATTGCGGGATAGTGTTACTTATAAGATATTAATAAGACAATTTTCAAGTTACTACTGTTGATGATAAACTATAAGCTTTACCTATGCAAAAGGGTTAAATCTTAATGGTTTCACGACAAGCAAAATTGATACTCGCGCAAATGATTCTCAAATCACTTCATAAACAGATGATACAGAACATGAGCATTTATCTTACCTCAGATTTTAACTTAAAGTTTGCAAGCTAGAACGAGTTCATTTCAAGACAGTAAGTCCTTCTCTTAACCAGCATCTTCGCAGCTGTTTCATAAGGCTCCTCGAAAGCCGAAGATACCCAAGAGATATCAGACACTTCCCTTTTCGACTCGCTTGGTCTTATCGCTACTAAAGTCGCACCTTTTAGCACAGTTCCATCAGGCAACTCCAAGGTTGGCGCATACCATAGTCTCATATTCAAGGCAGGCACAAGTGTCCTCTTTGAAGCCGATGAAGCTGCTAATGGTTTCACTCTTAGCTCTTCTAGCTGATCTCTGTTCATACAAAGCACACCTTGCCCATCAGAATCAGTGAGAACTAAACTATCAAGTGTCTTATGCTCCGCGATTATCGGCTGTAACAAGTAATGTCGTGCTGATGCAGCAATCAAAGAGCTAATTGTCCATACAACACGCAATTTCAAACCTCCGTTAGTGTAAAACGATTCCGGTATACTCCCATTATCATCAGAGCCGGAACCTGAAGCTTCAACGACTGTACTAGTGTCCACGGCTTGAGAAATTCTCATCGGATTCGGTTGAATCACAGAAGAAGCACCGAGAATCACACAATTATCAAGAGTTGAACCAAATTCAGCTCTCCATTTCAACAAAACTCCATCATCAATCCCTAATTCACCACTAGGAAGCTCAATACGTAAGTAACGAATCTCATCGAAGTTTTTCAAAACCTGTGTAGGTGAATGATGCGTAACACCGCCTTGTTCAATCTCTCCACCTTCATCATCTCCACTAATAGACAACGAAGACGAAGATCCAGAACCACCACATGATGATCTCTTCGTACCAAGGAATTGACCTAAAGCTTGTAACGGCTTAACAATGCCACCAACAACAAGACGAAATATAGCCGAAAACGATCCAGCGGAAGAACCGGAGCGAGATTTGATAGATGATAAAGACGAAGAATCATCATCGGAGATTACGCAATCGACACGAACAACGACGTTATCGACTTGAGGAACGAGAGAATGAAATCTCCGGGAAACAACACAGCATCGTCCGAGAGCTTTAACGTCGCCGATTTTGTTGAAAACGAGGAGGAGGATTGAGTCTGGAAGACGATCGAAATGGTCGATTTCTAGGGTTTGTGGTGGTTCGGGATGGATTCGTGACGGTGGATCTGAACGAGGGATAATTACGGCCATGGATCTTTGAGATTTTGGGGAAATTTTTTCTAGGGTTTTTATTCAGAATCAGAATCAGAGCTTTTGGAGAAGATAACGCATGAAGATGTTTCTAGAGAGAAGACGGAAAAAAAAAATCAAATGGTGGGAGGAGATAGATCCACGAGGTTTTGTCTCTACTTTAAAGCGCGTGAATAAACAATATAAGCGCGTGTAATGCGTGAAGTGTTTTTTTTTTGTAATCAACAATTGATGTGACAATTATATATTGTATTTGCTTTTTTTTTTTATATTGCCAAAAGAGTATTTATTGGCATTTTGATAAAAATAGACAATCAAATTTATAGGTAGCTGTACCACATGAGAATGAATTGGATTTGTCTAATGCTAGAGACTCATTCATAGTTATAGGAGGAAAAATATGTTTACAAATAGTAAGTAGGTGATATGTTGTTATACACGATGTTCAACAAAGACGATAGGCGCTAAGCGGACGATGACCCAACTCCTAGCGTTTAAAACGCTTAATCGAAAGCTAAGCGATTTTAAACGGTTTGGACGTCTACAATATAACGAATTATAAATATAATATTATAACTTAAAATTATATAAAATTATCTATTAGAAAAATAAAAATATTAAATCGTAAACAAAAATTAGAAAAACACATTTATTTAATTCATATCAAACAATATATATGGAGCTAAAAATTATATAATTTAAATTTACGTAGATGAAAATTAGAAAAACACACTAAAACAAAATTTATGCTATTTTAGACGATAGAAGCGGCCGTCTAAGCTTCGCTTGAGTTCCTAGTGCCAAAACGGGATCTAGAAGACTGCCTAGATCACTGTTTAGAACATTAGTTATACATAAAACGGATTATAAAATTTTAATGAGTAATATTTTTTTCTCATTCTAAATTTCTAATTAAACTTTATTAGAGACATTTCAATGTCATTGTTTATTAGAGGAATAATAAAAAGTTGACACAAGATTTGCATATCACTTTGTACCTTTTCTTTAGCTAAGATTAATCGACACATGTATTACATTCTCGCCTTCTGGGTGCTTAAACTTGTGTATACGCAAAAAAAAATAAAGTGATTCATTACAAATCTATGAAGTTAATCGTTTTAAATACATGAACTTTTTTTATACGATTTTATTTTATTTGCAAAAAGACATACTTATATTTCTTGACAAAAAATATTGTTACTTAAGGTTTTAGATATGTAAATTTAGAATTATTCATTGGTAACTACATGACAATATAATGTCTATAATATCTTCCTTATGCAACCGGTTACTATCAAACTTAGTTTACTCCACCATTGCATATCCTACCGAACTTCATTATCCTTAATCATAAAATACTAGAAGATATGCATAATGCTCTAGTGACTAGACAGACAAGTCATGTGTTGATTTTGCGATCAACATGCACGTTGTGTCATGTGTGTTTTCCCATTTCGCACGCCTCGGCGTTTTCCTTAATTATATTTGACTTAGTTGCAAAATGATTAGTAGGATACAATAGAGACACATGTGACTATTAAATGCAGATTCATCAACGAAACATCTAAGTTTCTTCCCTCTAATAAATAGTTTTATTGCATTTGACAATAAGAAAAGAGTAATATTCTTGCACTAGATTTAGAAAGAAAATCGAGATCACGAGGCCATTAGTGTTATTTAATTTAAGTATGTTATTTTTAATCAGGTTATGATAATGTAAGAAAAATCTAACTAATGTGCCACTTACTGTTCAAAAACTTAGCAAAAATGTTACAAAACATAAATCTTTCCAAATGTGCCATAATGGTGGACAACATTTCTTGTCTACCCAAATTTTTATATCTCGTTTCGAAATTTTGTCCACCAAAAATCTATTGTTTCAAAGCTGGACAAGATTTGTTGTCCACCAAATATCTTCCTAATCTGTTGATTCAAAGGTGGACAACATTTTTTGTCTACCAAAAATTTTCGGTTCAAACTTTTGTCCACCATTATGACATATTTAGAAAGACAAATGTTTTGTGTCAATTTCTGTAAGTTTTGTTACGGTATATGGCACAGTAAACCAAAATCCCATAATGTAATTTAAAATATTGGAGAGCCAACCAATCATATGGGGTTTCACGCCTCAACATGTTTGGGTTGAGCAAATTATAGAAGACAAGCATATGTTTATTCATGATTTCATGTTCCATATGAATATCTATCTACACATGCCAACACGTGTACGTATGCATTAGTACATCCATAATTCCATACATATTATGTATTATGTATCATTTATTTGTTTGTTGAAATATTATGTAACACCTATGAAAACAGGCAGCATTTTATTTTTCTTGTGGAAATATACGAATTACGTCACTATTTCAAAACAACTGAAATTCTATTAATAATGCAAATATGATTCTAATTTGTTTACAAATTTTGAAGTAAAAAAAAAAATCCATATTCTCACAATACATTAAACAATGGTTTTCATATAATCATATTAGCATCAAGAGTTTGTTCAAAAAGTACAACATAATTAAACGGCCTTCGGATTTAAACTTCTTTTGATTTCGTACCAGAAATATTGCCGCTAAACCGACAAATCGGGTTTATTTAATAATGCCAAACCATAAATAAACCAGAGTTATTTCTACCAAGCTCGGTACAATCCGGTTCGGCCTTATACGTATTATATATTTTCTATACCAAACCGGTGATGTCTCTTGTGAAATCACAAGATACACATAATACATTGTCTTAACAATACAAAGAATCTAATTAAACCAGAACCTAGTCAAGTTTCAAACCGGTTCAAGCATAGAGGTTTCTTCCACAGCGATCACACTCGGTTATATGAGAAACCGGGGTCTTACCGGAATTGATTTTCCGTAGATTTGGAAGATCGAGCTCGAGAACATCGTGTAGAGCCTTAGAGCCTTCTCGGAGTTCATCAGAGCTGGCAAAAGAAAGAAAACCGATAGCTAATTCAATCAATAAACCGATGATAAGTTGCTAAATAAACCAGACAGGTTCAGCTGTTTTAAAGTTACCTTATGGAGAGTGGTGGAGTTAACCGGACAATAGTGTTGTGAGTCGGTTTAGCCAAGACTCCTCTCTCCTTCAAGCTCAAGCAAATATCGTAAGCTGAAACAGGGGACAAGCTTTCGCTATTGAACTCAATCGCATTAAACAATCCTCTTCCCCGTACTTCCTTTATGTAGTCCGGAAACTGTTTCTTGATCTCATTCAATTGAATCCTCAGTTCATTTCCAAGACTTGCTGACCTATAAGATTCAAACCACAACAACAGAAAATTTTAATATAAAGAACCCGAATCAATTCAAAAAGTAAAATGGTACCTTTCCACAAGTTTCTCTTCCTCGATAACGTCTAAAGAAGCCATAGCTACAGCACTAGCTAAAGGGTTCCCACCAAATGTGCTGATTTTGACAATCAAGAATACAAAAAAGGAAGAAGCTTAATCGCATTAATCAAACCAATAAAATGTTCTTATAATGCCAACTTCGGTTAGTAAGAAGAGTGAAGTAATGCTTATGTGAACCTTCCGTGTTGGCCGGGTTTAATATGAAGCATCACATCTTTATTAGCAAGCACTGCACTTACTGGAATTACTCCTCCTCCTAATGCTTTCCCAAGTATCTTCGAAAACAGGTTCAAGATTTGAAATATTAATCAACATAATGGCTTTCCTCGGGGAGGAAATCGTAAAGAAATAAAATAACGAGCTTACAAAATGTAAAAGAACATACCACCATGTCGGGACGAATTTCTTCCCAATCACAAGCTAACATCTTTCCAGATCTCGCTAGACCGCTTTGTACTTCATCTGCTATCATCAAAACATTGTGTTTTGTGCAGAGTTCTCTAACAGCTTTCAAATAACCATCGGGAGGAATGATAACCTAAACCAAAGATAATTTTAACATTTAATAAACAAAACCAGTACGATTCATCCTCTAAGGCAGTAAGTTTGGCCTCAAGTCCACGGAAACTAAACCGAGAAAACCATTATAAGTTTATAACTTACTCCAGCTTCGCCTTGAATAGGCTCGAAAAGAAATCCCGCTATTTTATCTCCTTTTTCTGCAATTATCATAACAAATAACATGATCTACTCACTAGCTCAAGCTCAATCTTAATCTCGAAAATGAAATTCTCGGTTAAAATTTGAAACAGGAAACAATTTCATACCTTTAAAGATTTTCTCAAGTGAATCAGCATCACCAAAATCAACTTTAAGATTCCCAGGCAACAATGGCCCGAATCCACGCGTAGCATCATTGTCACAACTCATTGAAATAATTGCTAATGTACGACCATGGAAGCAGCCACAACAAGAGACAATTATAACCTGTAACAAAATTTGGTTAGCTGCTTGTAATGAGATCTTCCTTTAAAACAAAACCGAAAGAAACTGTACCTCATCTTTGGGAATATTTTTCTTTTCATGACCCCATTTTCTTGCTAGTTTCAAAGCTGTTTCGACACCTTCAGCACCCGTGTTCATAGGAAGCACCATATCATAACCAAACATATTTGTGAGACGCTCCGCAAATACCGGGAATTTATCATTATAAAACGCTCGTGAACTTAAAGTGAGTTTCTCCACTTGTTCCTGCAATGCCTTCACGATCTTAGGATGACAATGTCCCTGCAAGGATACACAAAATTAAACATTAAAACACAAACAATGAATCTAACAAGTACGAAACTTTCCACATATTGTAATTGTAACCTGATTAACTGCGGAGTAAGCTGCAAGAAAATCAATGTATCTCTTTCCTTCAGGGTCCCATATAGTTGAGCCATTTGCGCGAGAAAACACAACCGGCACAGGATGGTAGCTAAGGTTCATAATTTTCAAATTCCAAAAGAAAGAACCAAACATAAACATCTGAGGATAAAACTGGATACAAATCGAATTGAATATAAACAGATACAACACAATCATGATATATATATAAGCTTCTAACATGAAATCAAGAACCGAGAGATTCACAGATAAGTCCGAACGAAACAAACAAAACCCAAATATCAGAACTTTTGATGAAACGAGCAAAACCCAGAACCCCAAAAGAGAAAAGTTAAGTGATTCCATCGAAGATATATTCAAATCGGAGAAAAAAACGGAGGAGATTTTACTTGTGGGAAAGAAAGAGAATTTACTTGTGGGCACTGAATTCAGATTCTAATTCCATCAATCGTTGAGAAGACGGAGGAGATTTAGAATTCGATTGTGGCAGACCGCCATAGCTCCGCCGTGCTCCGGCGGTTGTAATTCTTTTAGATATACAGTAAAGCAACCGTCTCGTGGTGGCTGCCATTAGAGAGTCTTTCAGAGATTGAAGCAAACGTTTTTTTGTGCGTCTCTCTGTTTATGTAAACTCTGTTCGTTGGTTTTCCCAGAAAATGATCGTTTTTCTGACTTTCTCGGGATGCTAATTTTATCCGAATTCTAAAAATGGTAAATTTGATCTCGGTTTAATTTTTTTTGGATTTAATTTCATCCATAAGCTTCGATTTCAATATTGTAATTTGATTTGTTTCGTTTTTTTGTTTACTTTTAAACTCAATTTTAATATTGGAAATTCATTTCTCAAATTTTAGTTTTAGAATTATGGATATTCGAATATTTCCAACAATATGTAAAAAATTAAAAATAAATATAAGTAAACCCTTTTATTTTTCAATGAGTTTGAAAATAAATAACAAATTGTCAAATGGAGTAAAAAAGAAAAAAAATTGTCAAATGTTGTCTTTTTCTCTTAATGTCTTTTTTTTGATAAAAAATCTTTTTCTCCTGAATTAACCCAAGGCTTGCCACAATCTCAATATTTTTTTATTTGATGCTATAATTTAAACAGTTCTGTGATATGCAATGCAATAAAGAGATTAGAAGAAATGAACTTTGTTTGTTAATAACACTTATATAAGAAGATTGAGAAAGCACTTTAAAATTGCGTAACGTAAACTACTACTACATGACCATTGAATACAAAACCTTCCAAATGGATCAACATCTATCTTTTTCAAACAAACTTATCCTCAGTGGTCTTTTGATCAAAACAATGCTCAAGACTAAACTATATCACATTCATGAAACCCCGTTTTTGCGAAAAAAGAACTGCGTAACCACCTGTCCGCAGACGAAGAATGAATATGTCTACACACCAGCTTGAAAATCCCGGGATGTGTTGGAATGTTTGGCTCAGGATTGTCGGAAAAATATTCAAACCGCAAAAGCTAAACCAGAAACAGCAAAAAAAATTGTTATGGGTTTCCAAACACCTTAGTATTTTGGAACCCCAACTAAATGCCACCCTGAAGTGATAAGAGCAAACACCAAAGCGAAAACACAGCTCAATCAGAAAACCGTTTGAAGACTTAAGTGTTAAGGGTTTAATGCTACAACCCTACAGTGACAACCTAGCCAGCGCGGAGTGTCAGCAACAAGTATGAGGGTTCCAAATGGTGGAAGATTTAGTGAGTTTGAGCACCCAGCAAGTGTCCAGACATTAGCTATGGATACATAGAAGAAACAATACATCATTGATGACCTTGTTGCCTTTCGTATTGCCAAGGAAAGAAGATTGGAAAAACTTGGAAGAGAGGTTACTTTCTTAATGGACCACCTGGACCTGTAAGTCCACCATGATTGCAGCCATGGCTAATCTTCTGAACTATAGCATCTTTGAACTCAAACGCAGCTACACTGAATAACTCAGATTTGATGAAGCTACTCACCAGTTGATGCAAGAAGTCTATTATTGTGACAGAAGACTTAGATGGCTCTAGCTACTTGGTGGAAAGGAATGAAGGACATGGTTTACACAAAAACTCGATTACTCTCTCTGGGCTTCTTCACTTTATCGATGGTCTTCGTTCAGCCTATACGCAAGAAAGGATCATACTAATCACTACCAACCAGTTCCTAAAAAAACTCGACCCAGTCTTGCTTTGGAGAGGAAGAATTAATATGTACATTGAGTTTACATATTGCACCTATGAAGCCTTCAAGATTCTTGCCAAAAAATTACTTAGATCTTGATGATCGTCATTTATTTAATTAGAAAAAATCAAGTTTTTGTTAGAGGAGACAAATATAGTCCCAGCGGATATCGCAGAATATTTTATGGCTAGATATCATTCAATAGACGTCGATAATGGCTACTGACCATTAAGGCATGTCCGAGAAATCATCAAACCGCAAAAACTAAATTGTGGCTGGTTTCTGACAACCTAGTGTGTTGTGGAACCCCAGGTTTATCCGATAAATGGCAGCCTGAAGTGATCAGAATGCAAACACTAGCAGAATCAAAAAAGCTTTGTGTTGCAGGTTTTTGACAAGCTATATTATGTTGTAGAACCCCAGCTTTACCGGATAAATCCCAGCCCGAAGTAAATCAGACCACAAATGCTAGCAGAATCAAAAAAGCTTTGTGTTGCAGGTTTTTGACAAGCTATATTATGTTGTGGAACCACAGCTTTACCGGATAAATCCAGCCCGAAGTAAATCAGACCACAAATGCTAGCAGAATCAGAAAAGCTTTTAGTGTTGCAGGTTTCTGATAACCTAGTATGTTGTGGAAACCGAGGCTCGTCAGATAAATGCCAGCCGAAGTGATTAGACCACAACGTTAGCATAATCAGAAATTTTATTAGTGTTGCGGGTTCAAATGCTAAAATCCTAGAGTGGCAACCTAGTATGCGGGAATGACCAGACCCATATAAACTAAATCGAAAACACATCACATACATAAAAGCTTTTAGTGTTGCAGATTCTAATTATACTACAAGAACTATAAGATCATGATTTTAAGTTAAAAATGATATTTGAAATGAACACATAGATGATCAGAGTTCCAGGGAGGTTTATCTGGGAAAGAATAAATCAGAAACAGAGGCTAAGATAAAGAAGATCAATCAGTGGAGTTTGACCTAAAGACTGTAAAATCGTAGCAGAGAATGGGATGATCAGCAAGAGTGAGAAATTCCTCTACCGATAAACCCATGGATTTTCAAATAATAAGATCGCAAGATCAAAGCACTAACACCGTAAAACTTCTAAGAAGCAGAAACAATTACGGTCATTAACGAGAAGAGATCTAAAGGCTACTGTTCTTGAAGCCTTTAGATCTAACCTATGGCTGTTCACCGCAGAACTATGATGTGATAAGTATCACTAGGCATCACATATGAAGAAGCTGAGAAATGGGATTTGCAGAGTCGGTAAACTAACACATAACTGATAAGACTGCTTTGGACTAAGAACAAAGCAGACCTGATTCCATATATGGGGAATAAACAAAGTTTGATTGATATAAGAACGATTTTGTTTTATTGCACGGAGATAAGTAGTTATTGTACGAACAGCTCGCAGGGAAAGGGAAAAAGAATGATCCTGAAAGACTATAAATGTCTAGCACGAGAAACCAAAAGTAACCGAATCGAGATGGAGATACCGAAAAGTTTGATGAGATATGCAACCATATCTAAACATGAGCTTGATGGAAGGAGGAAAGCCTGAGAAACCCGATCAAAGAAATCCACTGAGAGCTAGATAGATCGAACACACTTCCATGGAAAATGATTACGGGGCAGAGCAAACTATTCAAGTGGACATGATAAAAGCTTGGAACAAGTTCTCTGCGGTACGCTTCTGTTCAGGTGTTCCAGAAATGAGAGCAATGCGACCGCCATGGGAATTTTTGGAATCAGAAATTTCTATCATAGCTCCTGATATCTGAGAGAGAGAGAGAGAGAAAGGGCACACATCATGTGAAAATGTTATATAGGAAAGAGGGAAGAAGAGACGAACGAAGCTATGGTGATCAGAGAGTAATGAGGAAGGAAAATCAAAAACTTTTGAACAAACCCTTCTTATGTTATCCAAGTTGCCTCCTCCTCTGCCCATAACTTTACCCACTGCATTTGCGGGGATTCGAACCTCCATAGTAGTAGATTGAGGCAATCTGTGAATGCACAAGATAATCAACAGGGGAAAGAGTTGAAAATATAATAAAATAAAAACGAAACTAACTTACCCTCCATATAGATTGGATGAGTAAGAAGACTTGGATCCATAACTGTTATTGCCCACCTGTTGTCCGAAAGACTTTAAGTTATGAGTATGAGTTATAAACACAAAAAATGAGATAATCTAGTTTGAGCAGAAGGAGGAGATGTTACCGGAAAACTTCCATAACCATAGAGTCCACCGCTCGAAGGAAGCATGCTCATGCTGCTCCCAGTTTCTGGTCTCCTATCAAAATCTACAGAAGCAACTTGCGGAACAGAAGACATGAAAGATGAAGGAAGTGCAAGACCAGTATTACTACTACCCGAAGAGAAGAAATTGTTATTGTCAGATCTTGCAGGAGGTTGATTCCTGGAACCAATCTCTCTATCCCTTAATACATCATCTCGAAGCCTCAGAACTATCTGAATAAGAGCATCTCTCACATCGCTTACTTCACCCGATATCTATTTAAAGTAAGCAAAAAGAATCATACACTATTGGAGAAATTATATAAAGCAGAACTGAACGAATCTAAAAACCATTACCTCAACGAGCTCATCATTGGGATCGGCACACTTAGGCTTATTATTCCCTTTTGAGATGTGAATATTGGCCTTTGTCCTTTTCCTGATTTCACTTATGATTGAGCCACTTTTCCCTATAATGCATCCTATTACCTTAGAAGGTACAAGAAGTTGCATTTTAACTTTTTCCTCGTCTTCATCATTAATTTTCTCTTGAAGTAGAAGAACAGCTTCAACCGCCATAGACTTCAAATCATCAGGAGACTCTGTAGCAGTGACAGTGATAACACAGTCATCATCATGATTTGCCCTCGAGTCATTAACCTCGATATGAGACCCGCTTGCTTGTCTTATTCCCTTAATGGTTGATCCTCCTTTCCCGATAACACGGCCGATTTTGGAAGAAGAGCAAATAACTTTTATAACCAACTTTTCTGATCTGGAAGACCCACCAAAACCATGAACCACAGGAAGAGCAGAAGTAGAAAAAACCGGCATTGGATTTGCAGCGTTTTCTCCGTAACCCTGAGGTAGTGTACCGATAAACGATGAAACATTGGCCCCATGTTGAAAAATAGGATCCTGATTTTGGTATAAACTGCCTTGTGGATAGATAGATAGATCTGACGGAATTATAATACTAGCGGGAACTTCTTGGACAGTTGTATCCAGAGGAATCTGTTCTCGAGGACTGACTTTGTACATGATTGCAGAAACAGCGAAAAGTGCCTTCTTCACAGATTCAGTCTCACCGGATATCTGATTGATAAAAAGAATAAGAAACATCGATTAAAACAAGCAAAGAAACATCGATTAAAACATATGCTAACAGATTTGGCTGGAATTCAGATATACTAACCAAAACAATGTTGTCAAAATCCATAGCACAAGTGTGTGAAGGATCCGAAACATCTTTAGAGACAACCTTAACGTTAGCTCTAGTTCTACTTCTAATCTTCTTAATAATCGAACCGGATTTACCAATGACATTAGAACATTGACTAGACGGAACTAAAAGGCGACATTCTCTAATATCATCTCTATCAATCTTAGTGTTCTCAGCAGCAGTAGCTAAAGAAGCCACAATAGCATCATGGACTTTAAGAAGAGCCTCTTGAGCAGAACACAAAGGAATTGAGTAATTCAATTCGCTATTCTCAATGTCGACAATGTCTTTCTTCTCAGTAACCGAGCAAAAGATCGTTATGACTCTTTCGCTACAACCTGGAAAAGGATCAACAACTTTGATTCTAGCTCTAGTTTCTTGCCTAATCAAGTTAATAACTTTGCCACTTTTGCCTATAACACTTCCCATGACTCCACTAGGGCATAAGATTCTGTAAACAACAACAAGATCGTCTTTGTTATCGGTCTTTTCTTCGGTTTCGTAAGAAAGTCTTCTCTTTTGATTCCTGTTGTTGTCATTGTTATTGTCTCTAAAACGATTATGAGTCCTCTTCCCACGCTCAACCATTGTTGACTGATTTGGAAATTACAAAACCCTGAAACAAGAGAAAGCAAAGAATCAAACTTTGAACTAATCAGAGAAAGAATCAAAATCTGAGAGGAACCCTAAAAAAAAACTGAAATTTGAGAATTGGGTGGATAAGAAAAAACTGAAAGTAACGATTTTTATGATTAAATTTGAAAATTGGTCAATTGGAGAATCAGGAAAGAAATCAATTCAAGCAAAGAACATACAAAGGTGATTGAAGATTCTCAGAGGCCTCTCGGGAGAGAAGAAGAAACCTTTGTCCTAATTGTTAGAGAGAGAGAGAGAGAGAGAGAGATTTGTGATTTTTGTCTGTTGCAGAGGAGAGAGAAGACGGCGAGGTGTTACTTTGATTGATCTGTTTCGGTTATATGAAAGAGTCTCTAACTTTTGTTTAGTCTCTCAAAACAAACATCTCTAAACGACTAAACCCAATGACAAAAAGAGAAAAAAAAAAAAAAACAAAAAACAAAAAAAAAAAACCTAAAATTTATTTTTAAGGCTCAAATCTCTTAAAACATCAATTTTTTTACCTTTACACTTGTCCTTTTTTTTCTGTTCAACATTTTATATTTTCCTTTTTTCTTTTTGTTTTTTATAATTATCTTGTATACTTTAAATTTCTCTCGTATTCATTAAGTATTTATATAATTTAAAAAATCAAGTATCCGTTATTGTCAAGGCAAATATTACTCGTGTAAAAATCTTTGCGGTGCTAAAGTTGAATATCTTTTGATTAATGCAAATATTTTTCTAACATTTCATTAATTTTTCTAAATTTTTTTAATTTTAATTCTATAAAAAATTATTTTTGGTCCAAAGAGTATACACTAAATTTTAACCAATGATCTAAGTTAATTATTAAAATTAAACACACATATAACCTACCGAAGAATCAAAAAAAATATCCAAACTCTCAAAACCTAATCGTCTAAAACTCTCCCAACCAAGCCGCCGCCGCTCTTCTTCTCTGTTCTCTGCTTGCCCTCTCCGGTGGCCGGCGCTTCTCGTCGTTGCCGTGAGAGGGCCCTTTTGCTTTCCTTTTTGTCCTGTTTGTTTAGTTCCCCGTTCCTTTTAGCACCTGGGTGTCGAAGGAGAAGAGATTCTTTTGGCTTTGATGGAGTTTTCTCGGCGAGTCGTCTTGGTTTCGCCGGCGGTCAGCTTCTCCTTCGAGAGTTGATGTTTTGTCTCCTAGATCTATGGATCTGTTGGATGATCTGTCCGTAATTGAGTTGGCGAAGACTCGGGTTTCTTTTGATTTCCCGTTGGTGGTTTCTTCGCTTCCATGTGGCCGTGCCCTCCAGTTCTCTTTTCTGGTAAACTGCTCCTCTAGTCGTTCTCCTCCTCCGATTTGTTAGGGTTAGATGGTGGTGGTTTTTTTGCTGAACTTTTGGCCTACGTTTGGGGATTTCTTTGGTTTGTTTCGAGTGTGGTTTTTGTGTGCGTTTTGGAAGCGGGTGAAGCGGCCAGTTCTTTGTTGTCGCTCAAGTGGTCTTCTTGTCTCTATGCCGCCTTTGTTGTGTGGGCTAGGGTTCTCGGTGTGTTTCCTCACTCCAAGCCCTGGTCCTTCCTCTCGCCCTTGGTCTACTCGTTTCAGCCTTTGTTTCTCTTTTGGTTTGCTCCCTTCCTAAGCAGAAGCTTCGTTTTATCTGTTTTTGCGTTAGGCTTCTAAGTGTGCAGTTGTTTCTTCTTCTTGATGTTGCTCTCTGTGGTCGATAGCTTTCTTGTTCCTTCGTCGTGCTCGTCTGAGTTCGGTGTTTTGCGAGAAGTTTAGCTTCACTCCTTGTACTTGCGTTCAGATTGGTTTGGATTTGATCGCGTTTTGAAGTCTTCTACCTAGACGTTATTGGTTAATGGGCGCATTGGTCGCCATCGTCGCATCCGGAAGTGTGTTAGAGTTTCCCTTGTGTTCTTGCTTGCCGGGTTATGAAGTACTTGGTTCTGTTTCCGAGAGATCGGCTCTCATCGTGATAGGAGGTTGTTGTTGTTATCTTTGGGCGGGCCGTGGGCAGCCGTGGTAAATCTCTTTCGCAGGTGCAACAGAAGAAGAGGTCTTCTTGCTTCTTAAGTCTAGTGTAATTTGTTTGGTTTAAGCCTTGTTGCTTTTGTTTTTAGTGTAAGGGTTCGGCCTCTTTCGTTTTGGTTTCGAGTTTTTCAGCTCTTTGTTTTAGTGTCTCTAGTTTCCCTTTCATAGGGCTTTGATTCCAGGGAATTCTCGTTTTCCTCTGGCTATGTCTCTGGGGACTTTTCTTTGTCCGCCGGCTTTGCTTCCCTTGTTTGGGCGTTGTATTCTACCTTGGTTCCACAACAAGTTTATCAATAAAATTCAGATGACAAAAAAAAAAAAAAAACCTACCGAAGAAAACATATATATATTTCAAACAAATTGAAAACAACCGTATCAACATTGTCCACCAGGTCCTCCAAACGTAAGAGTCTCTCTGGAATCATAATCTACATACTTATGAAACATTAAACCATAACACTTACGATTATCCACATAATCTTCTACCTCGTTGGGATTGATATCCACAACCGTATAATCCGAAAGAACATATTTAAGTTGTTTCATGAAACAAGACCGACTCAAATCTTTTGTCGGAAAATCTCCAGTTCCCATAGGTGGGCTTGTCGTGGGTCGAGACAAATCACTGATTCCTGCAAATCCACCGAAATATACTTCAGAAGCTCCTTCTGCCATGTGACTTTGACGTGGCCAATACCCTATCATTATGGATCCTATCGTCAATACCCAATTTTTGGTCACTGGATCCTGCATTGTAACTTCACATGTTTAGTAAAAAGGCCCAAGCCCACTGCGAATTACGCCCACCAAAGAGAGGGAACCAAAGTCCAAAACTAGAGTGGTTTGTGTTAGTTATATGCAATTTTGTTTGAAAATAGTGGGAATCTACTGTTTTTTTTTTTACAATTTTCCTACGAAATTTGTTCGTAGGAAATGTTCCATAAAAAATTATAGTATCGTTTTTTCGTCAAGACGCCCATGCAACAATAATAACCCATTCGTTATATTTGCGTCTTTCTTTACAAAATTTTGCCTTCAACGCAAAACATAAATGAAATTTTCCTTTGCCTAGCTATGCTATGATTTTCAAATAATGTTGACTAGAAAAGACTAAAACATTTTTGAAGTCCAACACAAAAAGTTAACATGTAAACATTCATAGAAAAGTGATAAAAATGCAAAACGAGTAAGCCTTATTTGTTTCTTAAGTTAGGGTTTTGGATTTGTACCTCAGCAACAGAAAGATGGACAGTGTTTTGTTTTCCTCCTGGAACATTGACTTTATCATAAACCAAACCGGGGTAGATTGATTTATGAACTTGAACATAACCTCCTGGACATAACGCATTGTAACATCCTTTTTGATGGTTATCTGACTGTAATATATAAATAGAATATTTGATTATGCATGCTCATACAAAAATTAACCAAAAATAAGTTAAAATAATCATCAAACTCGAAAGAATAAATACAAGAAATCATCACTCACCATCCAAAACGTGGTTAGTCTTGGACGATCGTCTGGATATAAATTCGTATGTACCTTTAGTGACGGATCGAGAGAGAAGTTTAGGGTTTAGATTTGAATATAAATTGACAAACCTTAATTAGTTTCGTTAAATAATTATTCAAATCGATCAATAGAGTTTAATTTGTAGTAAAATACTTACAGCCCAACCAAACTGGATGCTGCTCATTACGCTTCCTTGTATGTAATTAAGCCAAATCCAAGCCTTACTAAATTGATTTTGCACCACTCGGGGCTTGTTAATACTGAACAATGCTTGTGCTCCACGCCATTTTTTTGTCGTATTTTCAAATGTCCTAACAATTGCATACTACACATAAAATCATTACTCATATATCTATTTATACTATTAATTAAGACAATCCTCACCAATATATATATATATATATAGTCATATAGATAGTAGTTTTTGTTGCTTGAGATACTTACATGTAGATGAGTCTCTGTAAATAATTTTGGCCGGTGGATAGGTTTCCTATTTTTTTGCGACAACAATGCAGAAGAAGAGATAAGTTTTTTTTTATCTTTTTTAGGTCGATTGTTCTTTTTCTTCTTTTTAACCCTGTGACTGCGAGTTTGTTTCAGGAGACGGCCTGAAATAAACGAAAAACAAATATTGTGGTTAACTTTTATATTATTTATTTATTAAAGATTTAATTAGAACCACTAACTAAATTATAACCTTTTTAGAATAAGACAATGGGTGAGTTTATTTTAAGCGTAAATACTTATATGAAGTTTGCACATTGTGTTAACATATTTGATAAAAATTTACCTATTGGCCTTTTGGCTACCAAAAAAAAAAAACCTATGAAAATAAAAGATAATACCTATATCAACTACTGCAAAAAAAGATAAAATTTTACATATTGGCCTTTTGGCTACCAAAAAAAAAAAACTAAGATAATAAAATTTTAAACACAAGATGTTGGCGTCAAAGTTGATTAATATTTAGAAGCCAAAGGCAAGAGTGCTTACCTGCTTTTGGAATTTGTTGGGGATGAATAAGATTATTGGTTTTTGGTTTATGAATAGGTACTTGTCCCTTTGGACATTCTTCTAATCCCTTCAAATCAATCTTTCTAATTCTGTCATCTTTGGACGTAGAGAGTATTGATAAAAGCTCTCGACTTGGTCTAGTCTACAAAAACATATTTAGGTTTAGTATTCAAACATATTTCTTTATAAAACTTGATTAGTATGTTTAATGGCAAATGAATGATACCTGTATACGATGATTCTTCATTAGAGGATGCTGTAATGCAGATTGTTTGTCTATAGAGACGCATTCGAATTCGGTTTCTTGATGCTGCAATACAAATGCAACCATTTCAATATGAGAAATTCTTAAATTAGTTTAGTATACCAAAATTACTTGATAACGAACATACCGGAGTTGATTTAGCGATTACATTGAGGTATATTAGACTTATGAAGAATAACTTCAGCCAAAGAGAAGCCATTTTGGTTTTTTTCCTAAAGTAGATACTTTTAAAAAAAAGAGGTTCTCTTTATTTCTCTCTATCTTTTTTTTATTTCTTTTCGTTTTCGATTAAAAAGGCTTTGCATTGATTTCAAAAATAGGAAATATTCCGATATTTAAGGCTACAAAATCTATGAAACAAATTTAAACCGTAGGTGATAGGTCTTTAAGGGATCGGAAGGGAGAAGAAGTAAATCGTTAGCAGTTTTGTTATTGACTAACTAAATCAAATTTGACTAAGAGATAAAATCCTAAACGACATTTTCGTTCAAAATTTAATGTCTATCTATATAAGCGTTTTAGTTTTTCAAAAAAAATGGCTACATTAAAATCACTCACAAGTCACAAACATTCATCATATATTATGTAAGGCAACAATCCTATAGAATGCTACCTCAGCAACTTTAATTTAAAAGTTCAAACAAATAAAATTTATAAACACTGTATGTTTAATTTTGACTAGCAAATATTATATCTAAACGACATTTGCAAGATATGGGATTAGGTACTCTTCTATTGAACGTGACAATGGATTTCTTGTGCCGTTAAAATTGTCTGATGATGGTGATGGTTTCCCATTACCTTGGTTGGAATATTTCGTCTCGTGGATTGATTGTATGCGTTGTGGATTATATGGTTCCAAAATTAAGGTGATGACTTTTTTTGATGATGACGATGGAGATTATTTTCCCTGGTCGGGAGCCTTTCTTTTACCAAAACGAGTTCATCGTTATAGTCAATTGACTTGTCTTTGGTACAACCCGAAACAAGTCACGAACGTGAAGAGAAGGAAGATGGTAAAGAGTGATTGTGATGGTGATGTTTTCTCTTTTCCTTGGTCAGAAAATCTTATATCTATAAGAAGGAAAATCATGGTTACTAACCGACAACGATGCGTAAAACGTTTCGAGTATATCGTATTGAGTTTCAAAAGACGAGAATTAGAATCATTTCAAGCAACACTTCAGTTTTTTCTTTTAGTCAGAGTAATGCGAAAAGCATTTTGGAGTTTCATCTATAAGATGATAGCCAACTACGAGTATGTGAAGGGGGGACGTAACAGATTTTATCTGTTAGCCTGTAAGGCTTCCGATTGGAAAGCGGGGTCACTTCCACTCCTTCATCGAAATTGTGTTCAATTTCCTTTATTTGTGTCAATGGTTGTATTTGAATGGTTCATGTATTATGTAAAACTCTTTATGATATAATATAATTTGATTTGCCGAAAAAAAAAAAAAAACGACATTTCGTTCAAATTATTTTTTTTCACCAAATAAATTTTATTTTTAGAAATCCAATTTTCATTATTTAGTTTGTTTTCTTGCTACCACGGTACTTCAAATCAGGCTGAAAACAGAACTAAAAGGCTTTCGTTCGAGTCATTAGATTGAACCGGTTGGACAATGAGTCGATTAATTTCCAGTTTTTCAATGTATAGATACAAGATCTTTGCCCAGAAAAAAAAAAAAAAAAATAGATACAAGATCTATTTCACAAACCGTAGTACTAAATTTATTCAATTGACTTTTAAATATAGTTTTGGACGTTCATCAAGTAAGCAATCTGATTCTCTCTTGTCGTTCTTTAGTTCTTTGATAGTGGAAGAAGCATATACATTAGTACCATAAAAGCAGAAATGCAGAAAATATAATGTAAAAAAAATTCAAATACAACTTGAGATTTATTTGCCTGAAAACGTGAATAAATAAATGCTCCGAAAACCATTTCTCCATTCAAATAAACTCAAAACGAACACAATGAAATCAAAGAGACAAAAAAACTCTCGAAGATAATAAGACTCCATATTATAACCTCTCTGAAGAACTCTATCGCAAGATTGAAAAAAAAAAACAATTATTTAAAGTTCTATAAAGATAATAAGAAGTTTCAAGTAGAAAACAGTAGAGAGAAAGACCTAACAAAATCAACCCAGTGAATGCTCATAGTAACAGAGAACAGAGGAAAAGTGAATCAAAGAAGAAGAAACACAAGTTAAGACTGTACATAAAAACGAGAATAGATGATTGGAATATCGAGAGTTCTTTTTTTCAAACTGAATAAGAAAATTTCGGCCAACGTTTGTTTGTCAATAAATATACACAGAGGAAAATATTGAAAAGGCGTTTACCAGAGAGATTCTAAGCAAGATAATTGTATATCTGAGGGTTGCTTTTTTCCCTCTCCAAATATTCTCGATCGATCAAGCTTTCAATCCTCTTCTTCAGATCAGCAGGCTTTATCGGGAATTTCAGCTGCAAATTCACAAACACAATCCATTCATAGCATGGTATATTAAATTTAGTAGAGTACTGAGAACTCCCATCATTATCATCATCATGAGTACATTACCAGTAGGACTGGACCGAGTAACAAATTTCATGTTTTTTCATAAAAACTGAAATGTTATTTATCTGGTTAATCATCCCGCGACACCCAGTTCAAAATGTAGTTCTATTTTTATTACTTTAGGATTTTGAAATCATCAAGCAGGATGAAAGTTACCTGTTGGAAGAGCTCGGTGATTAGAAGAGTATGGCTTAAGACTTTTCTTGTCTTCATAATACGAACAATGGCTGCATCGATCTGTAAGAGAAGGGTGTGATGGGGAAAGCCAATTTGTCAAAAGCTTTTCTCGTTAAGGAGCCAAGTTGTAAGAAAGATTTAAGAACATAGAATCGTGAAGGAAAATGGAGCAGAAACCAACCTGGTATTGTCGGTCCTGGAATACTCTTTCCGTTGTACTTGTGTTCTCCTCCACTGTCTCTTTCATCTGGATTGCATTTACCTGCACCAGGAACAAAAGAAAGAATAGGTTCACTATATGCTACATAGAAAACAGTATCACAAGATTCTAGGATACTTAAAGTGAAGAGACCAAGAAAAAAAAGATGTACCTTAATGCGATAAAGCGGAGCTGCAAAGTCGTCATTAAATTCAAATTCATCACCATCTTCTACATCTCTTCCCTTTGGATTCTGCAAAAACATTTACACAATAAGGCTCAACCTTACGGAAAAAGGCAAAGCCACAACCTCAGCAGTTTCTGCATTAGCTGAAAAGAGAGTTAACAGAGTCCAGAGTTTGGCCTAACCTTCTGCAGGACACGGACTTTCCCACAAGCAAGCGACTGCAACGTCCTCCTCAGCTCTTTGTCCTCTATGCTGGTGGAATCTTTAATGTCTTCAAAGCTAAGTTTCATTGCATCGTTAAATAACATCAACACAACAGCCTGAGACAAAAAGAAAAGACCTAAATTAAGAAATTGATTCACACTGTAACCTCGGGAAGACAGGAAAGAGCTTAAGAAGGAAAAAGAGAAAATTTAACTGACCTGAAACAGGGAAACAGCCAGCTCCTTTTTACCTCTGGAGAAATCTGCCTTTAAAACACAGTGGCCTAATGAGTTTTGCCACATTAACCTCCTACCACTGTACTTGCTTAAATAGAACTCTTTGAAGATATCCTACGCAACAAACAGATAACTTAGAAAAAAGCTTGTAAGAAAAAATCTAACGAGGAAACGAAAAAATACATAAGAAGAACTTTTGGTAAAACCTGATAAACATTTAGTTCATGAGGAAGCTTAACATCCATAGGTGGATATGTTGGCCAGTACCTGCATTATACATGGAAAATTAACAAGCTTTATATATGTCATGCTATCATGCATTCCAGCAGTTCAATCCTGGATAAGATTGATACATAGTACATACCCTGTTGTTAACACGTGGACACTCATCTCAATTCCCGATGGTAGTTTGGTTCTGGCCTGAGAAGATTGTTTGAATGACTCATTGATTTCCTTTGACAATTCAATATCCTGGAGAAAATTTCAATAAAACAGAGAGTTCAAGCTCATTAGGATTATTGTACATGTACACTAGTTCATTAAAGTAGGTATGGTGCAGGATCATCCAACAATCTTGTCTAAGATTGGATTAAGTAACAATTAATATGTATACTGGGATATATCGTAAGTGTAACAAAATATAAGATCATTAAGTTTGTTCCTTCGTAAAACTTAAACGACCAACATCCTTTTTGAAAATAGAGAAGGAGAAGGAAAGAGTACCTTAAACATCCCTTCGAGCTTGTTTGTAAACTGGCTACCACACTCAGTCTTAAGCTGTAGGCAAAACCAAGGTTGGGGTCAGTGGGTATGAGCTACCGATATAGAAAACAAATTGTGGGAAAGGGAAACACCCAGGAAATAAATTTAACCTTAGATATCATGGATTTCTCGGCATCAATTGAAGCACTCTTTCCCAACAGGAGTCTCTTCGCAAGATCCTTTTTGTAAAATGCTTCGAACACATCTTTACCCTTTGAAAAAAAATTAAAAATCCATCAGCAAAACCGATATCTAGAAGATCAAATAGCTGGTTTACAGACCATGTACTGGCCTCGATTTTGTGATTTACAGTGACAAATACAATATAGATGTAAGAAATTAGAGATAACCTGGATAAATCTGAACAAAACCAAGACTTTTTCAAGAGTACTCTCCAGTTCTTCTTCAGAAGTACCCTTATTCCCAGCACGGAGCTTCTCGTCCAAAAACTTGGCAATAAGCTCAGCTGGCCGGTTCTGCAAAATAGATCAAGAGCATAAGATGTATATTATTGGGATGCATGCTAAATCAGAGTATTTGGTAACCAAATGATATATACTAGTAAAAAACACTACTGTAATCAGGTCCAGTACCCACAAGAAGCTTGTTCTCAAAATTATTATGTTTGAAAATTGTATCCACTGCCCAAAGATGTCTCCAAATCATAGCAATACAGTGCTTAATCAGTAACGAAAAATCTCTAGATTAGTATAGAATATAAATTCCTCAATTGCACCATTGTAACTTAAGGTTTGACATTTCCACAATAATCAGCATGTTGCTTTTAGATGAAAGTAAAATTGTTGGCAAGAGACTCAGGCAACAATCAAGAAAATCAATATTTAATACCTGACGAAGATTAATCAGATGCTCAAATGAATCTTTGATTGTGTTACCAAATGATTCGTTCTTATTAAAGCTCTCTTCCCATATTACGTCAAGAGAAGCCTTGAAGTCCAATAGTGATTGTACCATATCTTTATCTTTCTCTTCATCCATAACAATCTTCTGCCCAGTTTTCCGAACATATGAACTTAGCGCCTGCCTCAGAGACTCAAGCGCATTGACCCTAGAAAACAGGGTTTGCATCCTCTGAAGGTCCTCAGTACGACGTCCATCCATTAATGTTGTAAACCCCTGGAGATGTTCAGAGATAAAGTAAGACTACGACAAACTAAAATTAGCTAATATGCACGCCGCCACAAGGGTAACAGGAGTGAAACCTTATCAAGAACAACAAGTATATGGCGTTCGAGAAGCTGCCTTTCAACAGTTGCGATCAATGGTTTCCTTGTTACTGCATCTATGTAGAGTATGCATCTTTCATTCTCTTCATGCAACCTTCCCTGCACCAATCACCAGTAGAAACCTTAGAAAGACTATTAACATGTACTGCAGCTTATCATAAGGAAACTATATGAAGTCATGCAAGGCACCTCAACATGCTTCAGGTACTCCGGAACGTCAGACTGCTGCATGTATTTCATTCCTTCAGCAGCATAAAATTCAGAAGTCCCTTCAAGGAAAGGTTTCTCAAAGCTATCCATATATATTCCCAGTGCAGTAAACATCTTCAAAAGATGGCTTAGTAGAGTCCTATTAACCGCTTCTGCTAATCTGCAGGACCAATATCATGCAAGAAAAGTCAGCAGATTCAGATGAAAACATTATCCAATATATAGATGACTTACACTAGTGCTGATTTGCCTTGAAATTTTACCTATACCTAGTTATCACTACTAAACAGGAATAGTTCATAGACCATCCAAAACTTCCCATAAATCACTCAAAAGCCAGAAAAATAAGTTGAGGTAAAGGTGGCTTTATGAAGAGACATTCCCAATGTGACAAATCAACCTTGTTTAATTTTTGAAAGACCAGAAGGTTACAAAATTACCTTTCTTTTTCAATCATACTTAAGAGACCTTTAACAGTCCTCTGCTCAACTTCAGGGGCCAGAGAAAGATGCTTCCGGAAAAGCTGCAAACCCATCTCCCATAATGAACGTACATTTGGATTTTGTATGACATACTTCCTATCGAGAGTCAAGGCTATACTACGGATCATGAGCATCTGGTCACAAAAGTCTTGCCAGCATTTCTCAACAAGTGACAAGAAAACAGTCAGATCAGTGTTCTGCCCAACTAAAGATTGCAAAGCTGCAGAGATGTGTTCTTCACACTCCTTCTCAATCTGGTCATAAAGCTTTCCTTCCAACTTATGCAAGCAAAGGTTATCAACAGCCTGAAAAAACAGTCACCATCTCATCAGCACGACATTTACACATACGAAAAGAAACGAAGCTAGTAAATTTGCAAGTAACCTAACCTGGTAAAGGCTCTCAAGGTCAAAAGAAAATGGTTTTTTGAGGAATATAGCTCTGATAGCTGACTGCAACTTCTCCCATGTAGTCTCCTCAAAATTTGTTGGCAAGGTTGGTTTGGCTTCACACATATATATTACAAATGGTACATTCAGAACCCTTTAAAATGATGATGGAAACAGTTTTATCTTCAATTTGCTAGCCAGTCACAGTAATAATGATTCTCAAGATGTTTTCTAATGGCACAAATCAGGTTTGGTGAGAACTAGATTGTGCACAACAAAGATTCCGGATCTTAAATACCTAGATCAGGCTAGACAAAGAGATTCCAACTTAAAACAAATACAAAAACCCAAATCACTCATTCACATCAAAAATCAACAGTCACACTCAATTTCCCACTGTAATATAACATCAAAAGTTTCCATCAATCGCAAGCCAATGAAAACCCTAAAAATCACGAACCCTAACAATCGTACATACATAGAGTCATTTCCAATCAATCCAGAGCATCAATTTCACACTATAGTAAAAGACCCAAATCAAATCCAAAGATTACGATCAAAATCGCTAAAATGAAAAAATCGAAATCGAGCGAAACCTTTATTGAGCTTGATTACAAGCTTCTTAGTAGGTTGCGGTAGTGTAGCTTTCTTCCGAGAGAGATTAGCGGCGGCGGGAGTTGGATCTTCCTCCATAGGAAAGCCAACCTTGTCGGCGGTGTTAGGGTGTTGCGGGGAATGGTGGAGGTCGTTTTTAGCCTTTTTCATCGGAGGAGAGGAGTAAGAAGAGTCGTCGGAGGCAGAAGCGGCGGAGAAAGTAGAACGTTTGGTAGGAAGAGACATGAAAATGGGTGAAAATTGTGTGAGAGAATCACAAAGAAGAAGAAGAAGAAGAAGAAGACATAATCCCAAATAAGAACCCTTTCTCTCTACCAAAAGCGCACTGTGCACTCTCTCTCTTTTTTTTTTTTTTTTCTCAAACCCGCGATTTAGACCCGACCCGAGAAACTGAAGATTTTTTGTTTTTTATAATCTTAATACTATCATAAGTTTTTGTATTTATACATTCATAATTACTATATGATAAAAAAAAATATTACAAAATGAAATATGTATTTATATATATATACTCTTAATTAAAACCAAAATTATTTTATTTATACATTCATAATTACTATATGATGAAAAAAATATTACAATATGATAAATGTAATTTTCAAATTTTATTTTATTTTTCATAACTCGAAAAAATTAGAAACGTTGGCCTACGGCCTACGGCAAATTAGAAACGTTGGCCTACGGCCTTTGTTTTATAGTTAAAGTATTGAGGCTCTTCAATTTTGTTTTATAGTAATATCAAGTTTCATTACATTGATTTTGCATTTCTCTAAGGGAAAACTATCATATCTACCACAAAGATGTGGGTCCCTTATGTAAAATATTACATTTTCAAAAAATTATGGGATATACCACTTTCTTGTGGTACTGAAAACGTGATCTGACGAAAATGTCCCCATGAGAGAAGGAGAATTTTTGTTTCTACACATCTTGAGCTGTTAAAAAACGTACGATGCTTTTATAAAAAGAGTGGATGAAAAGCAATAAATGAAACAAAAAAAATTCAGTTAATATTAATAAACGTATTGAAATAAAATTACAAAACAACTAAAAAGCATTTTGTGTAGAATTAAAGTAAGAAAATAAGAGAGTTATATCGTGGACAATTATTATACTGTAAATATAATTGAAATGATTAAGTTTGTCCATTAAAATAAAATAATGACATCGTGTATAGGTATCGTAGACAACATTTTTTTTTTCTTTCGTAGACAACATTTATCGTGAATATACATAGCGTGGACTAAAATATCATATATACAGACCGTAGACAATAATATTTGTGTTGTGGACAATGATATACCGTGAATATACATGGCAACTAAAAAATCATATATAGAGATATGGCAACTAAAAAATCATATATAGAGATCGTAGACAATAATATTGTGTTATGGACAATAATTATACTGTAAATAAAATTCACAGATCTGAATTGTTCGATCTATAGTGGTGATGTAGAAGAGAAGAAGACGATGGTGGACATGCAAAAAGATCTAAACAACAATTGCGAGAGAGGCGAAAAAAAGAACGGAAGAGGAGAGATAGAGCAAGGAATAGGAGAGAGAGGAAAAAAAATAGGAGAGGGAGAGCATGAAACGATATAGAAGAGAAGAAGATGAAGATATTTGTTTGTGTTTGTAGAGAAATAAAAAGGGGTAATTGTGTCTTTTCAATTTTTGCAAAGTGGTATGGGAGAAAACTTTTGGGAAATGTGGTATTTTTGTGGGATAAACTTGAAAATGTGGTAGAAATGACAAATTTCCCTTTCTCTAACCAACTTCTTCTTTTTTTAATCATTTTCTATCCATTTGGTTTGTTTATACTTATTAATTAATAATTTTATATATTAAATACTACATTTTGTTATTACAGTTTTTGTATAAAGTTTATATTACTAACCAATTTTTGTTATTTTATTTTGCTAACAACATATGTGCATATTAGAATTTGGATGATAACACAACAACGACACTAACACAAATTACTATACTACATTTTATGGTCAATCTAGTTTCTGTATTTTTTTGTAATATTTTTCTTGACATTTTAGAAGTTTTTCTAATAGATTTATGATAAGATAATTTAAATATTAAATATAATGTTGTATCAAATATTAAACAACATTTTTTCTGCCTATGATCTTAAAAACCCTAGCATACCCATGGGCGGAGGCAGAGGGTCAGTTGACCCCTATGAATTTTGAAAATTCTACTACATTTTATTGAGAGTAATTATAATGACCCCAACGCATTATAGTTTTTGACCCCCATATCAAACTAATTCAACTATATGAGATAAAAAAAATTGTCATTAAAACAACAAAAAAGCCAAATAAGTTTAGTTCATTAGAATTTTAAACCAAATTCTAATGTAATAAAATTAAAAATCCTTGACTTATTTAAAATAAAGTTCAACTAATGATCTAATATTATAATTATTTATATAAAAAAAAAACCACAATGTTTTTCGCCTTTGTTAATCTTTGTGGACCATAACAAAAAATTGTAAATATTAATTTAATTGATTTTCGGATATTTTTTTTTCTTAAGTGTAGATTATTTCTGGACAAAACTAATAATAATTTTATATAATTTCTTATTTTCTTAAAAAAAAATTTGACCCCTATAACAAAATTTTATAGCTCCGCCACTGGGCATACCTACGTGTAATTCATAATATACAAAACTCTACGTGGAATTCATAATTTACATACTAGTAATACCTAACATTGGCTATAAGCCTATAACGAATACCCTTTACTATAAGGGATATAGAGTACAAAAAAAGAAAGAAAAAAAATGTTGTGAACAATTAGGTTTAGGAATTGCTTTTGTTATTATTCATGAGTCATTAGTACATATATATATAGGAATACAAAAGTATGGTTTTAGCTTGGAAAACAAGTGGTATAAAATCTTCTAGAAAATCCTAATGTGTCTATAATGGACATCCATATAATAGCCCATAATGGACATCCATATAATAGCCCAATATTCATAACAAAAAAAAAAAAGCAAACTTGAAGCAATAAGTGTGTGCAAACAAGAAGCAAAACTAAAGTTCGAACATAATGCAACTGTGAATGATTATTATCTAAAGTTTTTGATCCTTTAATACAAGTTTCTTTTTACGAGCTTACTTTCCAATCCTTTCTCTACTTCTACTTCTTCATATTCAATCTTTTTTTGTAAATGAAATTTGATGAACCATATGTTGAAGATCCCGTTCATGCGAGACATTTTTATCTAGATCTTCTCGTTTTCTTCCTTAGTTCCTTTTAATTACTGCAATGGGAATCATTTTGTTGGTGTATGTGTATCGCCAAAAAAACAAGAAGAAATCAATAACAGAGCCAAATGTAAAACAGAGAATTTATTTTTTGTCTTCTAACGGCGGAGTTTGAGGACAACTCCATTTAGGGTTTCGTCAATAGTTATGTAGGTTGTACCGGTCAAACCAGATTTTGGCTGATTTCGAATTGTAAATCATCCCTTTATTCCCGATTTGGGTTTATTAAAAAAAAATTAATTAAAAAAAATATGTGGCTTGGATATATATATTATTTATTTTAATTTAATATTTCACTTAAAAATCGATTACAACATCCCACTTAAGAAATAAAAATTAATTAGAAAAAGTCCCACTTGAAAGAAAGTCAATTTATAAAAGCACTTTTAAAAAAAAAATTCAACTTGGTTTAATTGGTTTTCTAAATTGAGGGAAGCTCGGAAGAGAGGAGAGGAGAGTGGGCGAAACGACTTCGTTTTCTGAAAAGAACAAAAAAATATCAATATTAGGCCCGTTAAAGCCCGTGGGCTCTAAAACCCACTTGCTATCGGTAACCGACTAAAGTCATAAACACATCGTCACTTATGGTGGATGACACGCATGTAATAATTTCTCATCTAACAGACGATTATTTACTAATTTTCTTCAAATCGATTTTGAAAGCGATTTTTTCCCCCAAATTGCGAAAACCAGCGATTTTCTCGGAAACTTTTTTGAAAGTGAAGAAGATGAAGTTTAAGCTTCCTCTTCCATAGGAGATGCTCAAAACGTGTACCGAAGTTATTGCCTATGTCACGACGATAAAAACGATCATGACTGTGGTAGTGCCACCACAGCTACGGAAACTCGTGGTCAGTTTCTTCCAGTCTCGATTTGGAAAACCTTCTTCGTCGAAGTGTTCTCTCATAGTAGAAGACAGAGATTTGAGCGAAAAGAAAAATTCGGTGTATGAAGATTTGATGTTGTATTTTGGAGACAAGGTCCGTGAAAGTGGGAACAAGATTATAGTCTCCTGAGAACCGGGACTCAACGATATCCATTTGTCTATATCAAAAGATGACGATCTTATTCGTGATGAATTACAAGGGGTTAAAATCCTTTGTAAATATTGCAAAGTTGAGAAACCTGAACCTGGGAAGGTTTACGGGAATACTCTACGTGTAATTCATAATTTACATACTAGTGATACCTAACATTGGCTATAAGCCTATAACGAATACCCTTTACTATAAGGGATATAGAGTACAAAAAAAAAATGTTGTGAACAATTAGGTTTAGGAATTGCTTTTGTTGTATTATTCATGAGTCATAATACACATATATATATATATATATATATATATATATATATATATATATATATATAGGGATACAAAGTAGAGTCGGAGCCGGCATTTAGGCCAAGCAGATCAAGTGTGGGGTCCTGAGCTAAGCCTTGGCTAAACCTTGGAAATCTTAATGCCATAATGCCTTTCAAATCCTCCTAACCATTATCCTACTGCAATAATTCTTGCTAAGAAGAACGCCCATGTTGTGGCAATTCCACCTAGAAGGTAATGGGTTACTCCTACAGCACGTCCTTGTACAATGCTCAAGGCTCTAGGCTGAGTAGCAGGAGCAACTTTTAATTTATTATGAGCCCAAACAATGGATTTAATAAGTTCTTGCCAATAACCACGCGGCTTGCGGCCGATAATAATAACATTAAGTTTCGGCCAATTTTTGTTAAAAGTTTATTTAGTCCAGCGGTTTCCGTACACTCTAAATGTCACCATTTCCCGACTTTGAACCTCCAAAGCAACAAAGATGTTTTATTTTTTATATTTTCGTGATAACAGTTCAATAAAAAAAAAATCTATGTAGCCTTTTTTTTGGCTTGTAGCCTAGAAAGGTTAGCGCCGGCTCTAGGTAGGGT